TCTTTTCATTTTTACTGTTTAACTTATTAACCAGATATTAGGTGGCGCCACTATCCCAGCTGGGGCACGTAAATCACATAAACGCTATCCCGCTAAACTATAAGACGCTGCCCACAACGAACGTTTGCTACACGGTAACACCATCCCCTTAACCTGCGCTATCACGCTAACGCTAAAGTATAACTCTCTAATGACACTTTTCAATTCAGGCGAGTCAAACAGGCAGCATTCGTTGAGAATAATGAGCCCGTTTTCTGAAGCGTTATCCTTTCTAGAAAAAAATGTTCGCATATGTGCTAATAACGAATCAGAATGGAACCTATTATTTGCAACTACAAACGCTTAATGTATGAATTTATTGGAGCCAATTTCACGCGTAGACATGCGCGTGAAAGAGTTTCTACTGGGAATTTTTTCGGTAGAGCGGCCGCGAGGTTACTCGGGTCCGGGACACCCCTTCGGCGGCACGCAGCAGTCAGAACCTTTTTAAATATGCGAAGCATCTCTCTCTCTCTCTCTCTCTCTCTCGGGTCTATGTCCCACAGTGGTGGTGTGGTGGTGGTGGTGGTAGTGGTTAGAAGATGTGAAAAGGCACCTAATTTCCTGCAACCAGGTCGGGAGTACGGCGCAGTGCCTGTGGTGTGCGCACTCACTGCGCATGCGCCAGTGTAATACTTCCCTCTCTCTAATAGCTACGCGTTACTGCCTCAAATTCTCTACGCCCCCCTCTCACTTCGAAACGCCAACGCTGGGAGCGTCTGCTAACTTAAGCTTTTTCCTCCCTCTTCTCTAGCCACCCTTGCCCTACGCCACGTACACCACCATCGCGCATGTGCGGGCTTCCCTCTCTCTGAGGCACTGCGCCGTGCTCCCGACCGGGTTGCAGAAATTAGGTGCCGTTTCTCATCTTCTAGCCACTACCACCACTTCATTCCTCTCACCTCACAACGCCAACATAAGCAGCGTCTGCTAGCGAGTTTCTTGATGAAATAAAAAAAAACATTTGTGACCTATCTGCGTGCTTCACTGGCTAAGGTCATCGACAGACTATTGTCTTCTCTGGAGAGTGAGCATAAAACTTTTATTTGGCATTCTGCGCGACGGAATCGCCGAGCTGGCGTTGCGTAAGATATAAATGCTGTCTAGGACTAACTTGAAGAAACGAAGTTTTCCTAGAACGCAAAGTCACCTAATTGTAGGTGGCAGCACCATGTAGTTTTAGTGAAGCACTAATGCAGCAAAGGAAACGCCAGTTTTTTTTTTTTTGTCATAGCATCGCACTGCCAGCACCGCAGAATAAGCGATGAGCTTTTTCGATTACATAATTGTGGATTTCGTTATCTCATTCTCTGCATCAAGAACCTGTACTGAAGGTGCGCATAAATATTTGTAATAATTGCTTTTTGATCGACAATGTCAGAACGCATGAACGCAGAAACGTGATCAAGATGGCTAGTTGTTGAGAAAGGGGTTAAACTTTCGTCGCCTACCGAATCTGGTGACAAACAAAAAGAGAGGACACACACTCAGACAGACCAATATTTCTGCGTCAAAGTATTCCAAAAATGACTGTCTTTAAAAGAAATGGCATCACCGGTATGCGCAAATATAAACATAGTGCTTGCGTCGGAAAAACACCGCGCCACTGGACAACTGTAAGGTTCACTTGCTCTTAAATCCAAACGCAGGTTATTAGATGCGAAGCAGGTTGACGGTTAATATGTGAGGGTTAACACCCGAAAACCACCATATAAATATGAGAGACGCCGTAGTGGAGGGCTCCGGAAATCTCGACCACCTGTGGTTCTTTAACGTGCACAGAAATTTGAGCACACGGGCCTACATCATTTTCTCCTCCATCAATGGGGCAGCCACCGCAGCCGGGATTTGATCCCGTGACCTGTGGGTCAGCGTTCAAGTACCTTAGTCCACTAGACCACCGTGGGGGGCGTGCGGGTGTGCGAAGCAGCTTAGAGTCGAGCTCAATTTGGACTTGACCGCCCTTACTGCGCATCTTGGAGGAAGGAACATACCAGAATATACTGAGGATAGGATGTTTCGTCACGTTTTGTAAACCCTGAAGTCTCTATGAGTAGAGACTCCTCTTCACAATGGTGGTGACGCTGTGGGGTCTCGCGCATGCGCAACGGGTGCCAGCAAGAGGGAGGCAAGCCGCGCAAGCAGATCTCTGACGCGCCGGGCGGCACCGCCACCGTAACCTGATAGACGAGCTGGAAAAGCAAAACTTTTGCGCTGACTATGGGCAAAGGTGCTGCGATAGTCTATTGTGAAGTGCCTATTTAACATTCGCAGCCTCATTAAGGCTCATATTGTGAATAACAATAAACTTGCAGCTTTGTACTTCGTCTTTATTTTACTGAACGTAAGAGAGCAGCGGAGCCAATCAAGCGGGGAACCGCCACAAGGTTTCTTCTGCAGAAACGTTAAGTTCGTGCTATGAAGCATTAGTAAAGAGTGAATATGTTTTATTTATCTTAATATTTAAACATATTAAGCACCTCCAAATCATTCTTCACCATGAGTGTCACAATGCGTGTGCACTAGTTCCGTTGGCAGCAGCGTGGGTTGGCCGACTGCGACCATAAAAAAAAATGTTGCAGCTTTGCCTGATAAAAGAAAGGAATGAATGCGATAGCAACAAGTTGTATTGTCACGCGAAGAATGGCAAGGAGATCGAAACGTGCCCCACGTGGCTCACGCACAAATGATGCACGAAACGTACTTACAGTAAAAGATGAACGTGAAGGAGTTTCTCAGTTGTTACATTGCTGTGTCTGGAAAGCGCGCCCTATTCGCAAACGGAGACTGTGCAGCGACCTTTATGCGCTCGATGATTACAGCAGTGTTGTTAGGTTGAAAGAACAAGGTGTACGATTTTCCGCCCCTCGAGATAAGCGCGCGCACGTGTGGGCGTCCATCCCCTCCCGTCTTCTCTAGTAAAGTACGCGTTGGAGTTGATTTCAAGTGCTGCCGCGTCGTAACAATCTGGCGACGCGCGCTCATTGCGCCATCTCGCCAGTAATGCTGAAAACACAATAGTTCCCCGAGGCGGTCATGGCCAGCGGTAAGTGGTATATATAAACAGCTTGCCGTTTCAACGTTGAAGAAGGTGCTTCTTCGTTGCTTTCTTGAATGAAAAAACTGAGGTATTGAAGTCTCAAGCTGATAAACGGGGAAGGCGGGAACTCTGAATTTTCGCTCGTGCGGCTGTTCGCAGGATCATCATGGCGAGTGAGCTGGTCTATCTCATGGTAGTTCTGAGGTGCTCCAGACTGAACTTAAAAAACTTTCATAGAGTAGTTGCTGTTTTTGTGTGGCAGTCGGAATATTAAATGACAAGAATAAACAACATGTTGGGCAAGTTGATTCTGAGAAGTTTAAAACTGTCGGATTTATATGTAATACATCGTCTGTACGGATTTTTTGGCAGTGATACGACAAATCTTTTTCAGAACAGTTACTCAAATATGATTAAGCCATGTCTTGCCAAACTGTTGTCTCAATGAGGAAACGTTGCTGTTACACGACCAGTAAATTCTTGTGTAAAGTTGGGATAGCAATAAGATTTTTAATTTATCACACATCTGATAAATGTTTAGGTACAGTAACACTTAAACGTTTGAACTCCGATTTGATAGACATGTTTCCAGAAGAAACGAATGCTTGAGCCAGAAGGTATGAACACATTATTTTTTAAAGATATATAATTGTAGTTTGCCGTTAAACCGTGGCAAGAGGACATAGGGGGTTATCTACCATGTAACACTGATTGCTTACTTTAGAAAGGCTCACTATATCAAAGTATCAAAGATGTGTTTCTGGACTGCTGGTGTACTGTTTTCTATATGAATATAATGGAAAGAACCCCGAAAAAGGAATTGCCGCTGACACCAAATGGCATTCAACTGCAGGTGAAGGCACGAGACCTCAGGACAAAATTTTTTCTCCTCGGCTTTCATAGCACTTGGAGAAGCCTTATGGCTGTTTGGAACCTAGATTTAAATACCACATCAGTCAAGTTATGCTTCACGCACTCTGTAAGTACACTACGGGAAGTGTTTCGGAAATTGGAACATGGACAAGAAGTGTAGGCATTGATCGATTCTCTGGTGAAGTTGAAAGCTGCAGTTGCTTTGAAAGCTGCAGTTCAAAGCTGTAGCCGGCATTTGCTTTTTAAGCAACTTCAGGCTCGCCAACATGTACACTACTTCAAAAGCAACTGCACGCTCTGCAAGGCTATGCAAGGGTGGCTTGTACGGTTACTGGGTCACCAGATGTGGGATCTCCAGTATAGGCCAGAGCACGCCTATCTCCCATCAAGACGCCTAAGCTCCCGCCGCGTATTCTAGCGCTGAGAAGATCATTTTGTTCTGAACTGCCAAGACGTGCACAAGTTCCCTCGCCAACATGTGCACAACACCAAAAGCAGCTGCAGGCCCAGGAAAACGTGATCGAGAACCCAGAGCAAGAACTTTCAAAAAAAAAAAAACAGCAGCGCATCGAAAGAAACAGCATTAACTGATGATACGTCTGAGCCCCACTCAGGAGATACCCCTCCCCCAAACTGACCTGCCCTGTGTTACCATGTACGCTGCTGATGCAGGCGCTGCTACTACAGCGGCTATTTTATTGGGAAGCTTCCGTTGCTTTATCGTAGAATTACTGAAAGTGCCACATCTTATATATAAACCGACAGAAGAAAAAGACACCGATCTCCATTCTGTTTAAGCATGTTACTGTCGTTTGAGGAAGACTCGACTATTGTATTGATGGATTACAGTCCATGCAATACTTTTTTCCTTTCAAGACTGAAACATCTGGAGACTTAAGGTTTGCCAAAGTCGAAGCTCCCGCCTGCCTTGTTGGCATCATGACCGTGTAACCACACGTTAGATATCTAGTCTCCCGGCGGGTTAATGGCGTAGCCGGTGGATGGCTGTCTCCTCAGTTAGTGGGAGAGTGAGTGTTGTTGCACTTACGTTTTTGTTGCCTGCAACCCTCCGTTGCATGAGGTCCGTCATCAATCCGCTGAAATACTCTACGGCGTCCGGGCAGAATATGCGTATTCCGAGCATTTTGCTGAGGCGGGGAAATTGGACTGTAGGAAAATGAACATGCGTGTAGTGAGAAAGCGAATTACATGGTAGAAATCAAATTATTGCAAAAATTCATAAACGCCCCTTATTTAGAGCTTTGTAAATAGTGCCGGCAGCCTTACCACTCCTTCCACCCGTTATGTTACGCGGTTGTTACACTGAAGTGTTCGAACTTTCTTTCAGTTATTGCTTTAATCCCGCAAGTCCAGGCCACAGAAGAGCTTGAGAGCTTGATTTTTTATGTGTGCTGTTTAACGTCCCAAAGCCACGATCTGATTATGAGAGACGTCGTAGTGGAGGACCCCGAAAAGTTTGTACCACCTGGGTGTTTTCTAACGTGCACACAAATCTGATCAAATGGGCCTGCAGAATTTCAGTCTTAATTTAAAATGCGAACGCCTGCAGCCGATACTCAATCTCGTGACCTGCGGGCGAGCAGCCCAGTACCTTAGCCACTAGACCAACACAGCATGGTCTGGAGAGCATGTATCTGGCCCTACCTTGACTAATCTTTTCCTATTGACCCTGTTGCCTGTCCTTAACTCTTATATACTGTTCATGGTCTCTTGTGTACGGAGCTTTGTAGCGGCCCCGGCCATCGTATGCTGTCGTCTCGTGTTGCTTTGCGTGAGGATGAAGAGTAACTACGTTAGGAAGTAGGGAAACGAGTGGCACCGCATCATAAATAAAGGTTCCCTATGCCGCCCTGGATTCTGAGCAGGTTGCAAGCTACAATGCCCGCACTTGCTTGCCCGTGAACGCTTGCTTCATTCAAGCGCAGGCGAATCAATTCTCAACATTCCCTACAGCCTTCACGTTGGGTGAAGTCCGTCGGTGGAACTGTTTATGCGAGCCGTGAGAACTTCCGCGTACCCACACACAAAAAAAAAACGCCAAAGAGCACCGCATGGTACGCGTTATCATTACGCTCCGCTTCATCTACTTTTCAGCGCCGAGGACGCAAGCGCCGAAGTTCGGCCATTGCATTCAATAACTCTGATGAGTGAGACATTCAGTGAAGATAGCGACATGAAAAAAAAACGAAGAAAAGTGGTGGATGGCAACATATGTATTTCAGAGCAAAAAGTGTATTTGCGAGGCGAGTCTTGCAATCGCGATCCAACTTATGCGAATGTGGTCATTGTTACCCAAAGCCAAATAGGAATACTAGCTAAGCACAGCATAGCCTCTCATAATATAAGGGTAAAGGATATTGAGGCTCAGTAAGAGAGCAAACAGGAAGAGTATGACAATGGTAGCATTGAAATGAAAACATTGAAAATGAAATGCAGAAGGAAACGGAAATAGAAACATTCAAAGCGCTGAGAGAATAAAGAAAGATAGAGAAGGTAGAAACAGGTAGCGAGAGATTTAGAGAACGAGCGGGAATATAAAAAGACCCAGAAAGGAAAATAAATTGAAAGACAGACAGATATATAGATACGAACCAAAACAAAAATGCGAAAGTAGAAGCAATAAACACAGAAGTAATAAAACAAATACGTAACTAAATTTTCAAGGCCTATTAAAGGACCTGCCTACCTAGAAGCCGAATCAGCTAGAATGGCTAAACCAGTTCACTTCCAAGTGTGGTTACGATAATCTTCGTCTTTTGGCCTGTTTCTATCACTTTGAAGTTGTTTAGTTTTGAGTTTTCTTGGCATTTCTCCTCTTTCTCTTGATAAAAGCTTCATCTAATCCTGTAGTCGTTTCATCGCCTTCTATGCCTTCTTTTATTTCTGTCGATGGCTGCTTCTCCCTCTTTTCCATTTCAATGCTTCATCAAAGCTTCCTTTCTCTAGATTCTTTTCTTTTTTTCTCTCTCTCCACAGTCAATTTATCATGTATCCTAGCTCTTCCACCCCTTTCCATTTTTCCTGTTTCTTTCTTGGTACCTCGTTCCTTTCGCTGTTCTTTTGTCGTCACCATTAAATAAGTCTTGTGCAGCATTGAAAATATCTGGCTTAACGGACCAGCATCAAATCGCTAAAAATGAATGCCCCCAAACTCGGCTCTACTTTATGTCAATAAATGAATGTGAAACAATGTTGGAAATACTTTATTCTTGATTTTATGAGCAATGATAACGAAGAACACAGTGTAAGGTTTGCACGCTTAGCTAAATCATTTGATGCGGTTTGTGCACTCCAGTATATTTACCAGTGTCATACAAATTTCGTCATTTACACCACCATACTCACCTTCGTTTAGGGTGTTTTCTGCTCAGTTAACACTTAATCTGTAGCTAAAGAAAATGGGGTATCGTTTCTCAAGTCCGCCCTTCAAGCACTTAGTGCATACATGTTATTGGGTCATCATAGTAGGGCCAGCGTAGAGGGTAGTTGGTTGTACATGGTTGAAAATCGCGACGTGCTAAAATTGAACACGAAAAAACACACTGAGGCACACTGAGGCACACGCGAGCATGGCGTGCGCAATGCCTTAACGGCGCCTCAAAAATTAATTTAACTTTTTCACCAAGTAAACAGCAGTAACCAGAAGCACAATCATACATGTTTCGTTAAGGAGGTCAACAAGTTTGTACGACGTGAAAAAAAAATGTCGTACATGGTACTCCTTTGTCATGCGGAAATCTGTACGTTGGGCAAACTGGTAGGTGTCTTAATTCACGTTTACGTGAGCATGATTACAACTACAAGCACATTAGTCACCTTGGTAACTTTGCCAACTCTCGCTTAACGTGCCGTTGCACGCCAGATTTCGAAAACACCGTTGTTTTATTGAGATCGAAATATAGAAAGCAAAGAGATATCATGGAAGCTTTCACGATGCGCAGGCTCGGTGTAGACAGGTGTGTTAGTGAACCATCTATTTATTTGCCCTACAAAGAATATGCTTCTTTACGTGGACCTTTTAGATGGTTGTCAAGGTTAGACTTGATATCCCGCAAATGGTTGCTTTCTTATAGTGGGCAGTGTGCAGTTTTACGCTCTTTATTTTGTTTTTCCTTTCACCCTATAAAAATTTGTCATGTTTCTATCGAATAAACAGTTGTTAGTTTGCGCTCGTTGTGTCCTACCAGTGCCTCCATGTGCCTGTTGTGTCCAATTCTAGCGTGTCGCGAGTGTCAACAGTTGCGTCATGTTACTCGAGAAGTTTAAATTCTCGATAACTATATTGTAATTGATAAAGTTGTAAATACTGTGAGTCATTGAAGCTTTAGCGTATGGCTGCTTTATGTGTAATGGACAGCAAGCACCCTGAGTGAACATGCGTGAGTAATGTTTTCGAATTTAAGTATATTACTGCGCTAAATTTACTACTAAATGGTAAATAGAGAGGACACGCGCATGGTGGGAAATAACAATTTATTTCATTTTTTTCAAGCTGGTGGTAACGAGGTCACACAGAAAAAGCAAGGCTTTATTGGCAGCAACAAACTACTCTCACCATGTAAAGATTTTGAATTCCTGTCAGTGGTTTCACTGCCTTGTTGAAATGTATAAAACAGGCAACATTTGGCAAACAGGTAACAGAAAATGCGTTCATATTTGTGGTGGTTATTCGAAATAGTCATTTGAAATATGGATTTGCATTCACATTAACTACGGTATCGAGGAATTCAAGAAACTTCAGGATATAAAATTACTTATTTACACGAAATACTGCTGATACAAACCGAATCATGATAAGGTTCCTTCCAGGTAGACTTTGAACTTTCATTAACCTGTAGTTTACAGACATCCCTGATATAAAATAAATGGTTAACAGAAATTTTATTTAGCAGCCAGTTATTATGACTGCCCCGCCGCGGTGGTCTAGTGGCTAAGGCACTCGGCTGCTAACCCGCAGGTCGCGGGTGCGAATCCTGGCTGCGGCGACTGCATTTCCGATGGAGGTGGAAATGTTGTAGACCCGTGTTCTTAGATTTGGGTGCGCGTTAAAGAACCCCAGGTGGTCGAAACTTCCGGAGTCCTCCACTACGGCGTCTCTCATAATCATATGGTGGTTTTCGGACGTTAAACCCTACATATCAATCAATCAATCAATCAATCAATCAATCAATCAGTCAATCAATATCAATATGACTACAATTAGCCGATTCTCTCAATGTTTACGTTTTACAATGAACACAACGCAGACATCTCGATGGTATTGACTGTACTTACAAGAGAAGAAAGCCCTCCAGTTGTAGTCAGCTGCAAAAAAGCGCTTGGCCTGCAAGACGAACGGATTGTTTACATCCCGGTGGGAGTCCAACTTAAAGCTGAATGTTGACTGCGCTGTGACGTCTAACGCATATGCTCCGAAGACCCTGCGCCAAATATTTATTTGTATTATTAGAAGCATTTAATATGAGCAAAGGTCACCTAAATGTTTAGTTTTCACACTGATTTATCACTCAGGGAGCGCGATGTAGCCACAAATATGTGCTTGCAAAGATGTAAGAAAAACGTACTTGTCAAATCAAGCAGCAGAAGGTGGAAGCCACAAAAGGTGCAATCTTTCGACCAGTGCAGTTGAAGTTTTGTGCACAGAGAAAAAATGCGGCAGCTAAAGGGTAGGTACTCAATACCTTCACGTGCCAGTACAAAAATCGGTGGTCGGGATAGCACGTTTTACTTAGTACAATAGTCTTTCTAGGTAACGCTTATACACAACTGGCTTTAAGGGCACTCCTTACATTGCCAGACAGCGCAGGGAAGCCAGTGTTTTATGACTGTCAAAGTGTGAAAGTCGAAGAGCAGCAGTAACTAAAAAACGTATATTGCGGTGATCGTAGATGCTAATGAATGAACTCTGCAAAAGCCTCTTATCACCGCTATGATGCAGCGCATATCATGCTTGTGCACTATTCGCCTACCTTACAAGCATACGTGAACAAACTCACTCATGAGTGCGATATATTAGGCCCCTTCAGAACCAGATCGGTACATGAATGTGTGGGCGAGAAATAATGCCATGCGCATGGACTTGCTCGGGCCCTTTCCGAAGTCACAAAAGGCAACCGCTAGATCGAAGTCACTACTAACTAACTAGGTACTGCGAAACGAAATCCCTACAACGGGGCACCACTAATGAAATTGCGTATCTTTCATGGACAAGATCCACCTTCACCACAATGCGCCAGCAGTTATCACTGACCATGGAACAGCCTTTACTGTCCAACTGATGCAAGACGTCATAAAATAGTAGAACCGCTCATCGCAAAACGATTTCATACCATCCACAAACCGATAGTCAACGTAGAGGTTAAACAAGACGCTCGTTTACGCGTTGTCCCTGTACGGCGACCACAATTACAAAAATGGGACGACATTTTGCCATACGCAACATTCGCTTACAACACTGAGGTTGGAGAAGCTACCAGGTTCCCCGCTTTCCGGTTGCTTCACGGCCAAAAAACAATTACGAAGCGGAATTTCATGCTCTTACCTGACATGAACGATATCCCTACTGATGCGAATGACTTTGACCGGCTCGGTGACGCAGCCCGCAAAAAAAGCACTCAAGTGGATTCGAAAACAACGCATTTACTTGCAGAGGTACAACTCTCGTCATCGCAGTGTTATTCACCAACCCGCTGATCTAGTGTGGCTGTGGATTACCGTTCGCCAGAGGAACCACTCTGAAAGTTACTTCACCGCCACTTCGGTCTCTATATAGTACTAGGGAGCCTCAAATATGGCAACTACGAAGTCCTGATTGAAGACACAGCTCGGTGATCTCAACGTTCCGAGCAGGCGGACATCGTTCATGTATCAGGGATGAAGCCACACTACCCCCGAACCACCTGACACTGCTTCATCATACGTACTCTCACGTCTAATTGGCATTGAGCATCAGGACGGTACTTTTTTAGAAAGGGGGTTATGCCACGAGCATGGAACGAGATTAAGCCTTGTGAATGCGTGTACGCGCCATTGTGTAAAAGAAGAACACTGGGCGATGGGCTCGTCTTCATGGTTACCAGTTCAGCTCGACGTCTAATGCTGTTGCACCTCTGAACAGGTATTGCTTTCTATCGACTATCGCGTGACAATAATTTTATTAATTTGAATCCGAGCCGGTCCGATGATGACGCATGGGTTCTCTTAGCGCAATCTGCACTGTAGGCCAAATATCACCATTACTACTAATGGAACGTTCACAATGTTGAATGACCTGAAAAGTTAGGATGCGGGATGGATGTAAAGTGGCCGTTTTAAAGTGTACGCTCTATGTAAGCGTAAAACACACACACACACACACACACACACACACACACACACACATATATATATATATATATATATATATATATATATATATATATATATATATATATATATATATATTTATATATATATATCTATATATATATATATTTATATATATATATATGACGCTATGATCAATGGGAGGCGTGGCCTGGCTCATCTGCCATGCCATGTTTATTCCAAATCACTTCTTCATCGACTTCTACCAACCAACGCTTCATACGTCACACGCTTCCTTCTCCCCCCGAAAGAAGGCACGGATTACGAACAAGAAAAAATAAACAAGGAGAGGTTAAAAAGTCACAAATGTGAAAATTCACAATTGGTTCTATGCTCCAGGGGAGTTCCGTAAACTTTCAAAGAGTTCAGGGGAGAGTGCAGCAGTCCGGTTAACGCAGGAGTTCTGGTGGGCGAGGCTGGTGGTTGCGTCCAGGATAATACGAAAATGCTTTGGACGTAGAGATAGGGGTAATCGCAGCTGGCGTTCTTGTGAAGAACGAACGAGGCTCGAACATCTTGCAGAATGGACAGTTCCGATATTGTAGGCTTCGAATTCCTCGTCGTGGGTGATACACAGGCTATGCAGGCAGCTTGCGTGTGCGTTAATCGAGGTTGATTGGGCGCTGCCTGTGTTCCTGCCGAGTACAAGGGGTGCTTTTGTGGCTTTTGGAGATTTTTCTATAGCGATGTAGCAGATGTTTTGATCGAAGGCGCATTTTCAATCTCTAGTGGAGATTGTATCCACGACGATGGACCTTTTCGCAATGTTCTTCGGGCCTTAAGAGTGGTTTCGATGAAGTTTTCTTTTGTCGTTGACAATGCTGAAGAATGCGTTGACGTTGTAGTTTCTTGGTTTCGCCGACTTGCTTTTGGTGTGACATTGATTGTGGTGCGCCCGTATTCTTAGCAAGCCCTCTGCAGGCTTCTACGACGCCAACCAATGCAGCTGTTTCTGACGCAAGACAATGTGGGGGGTTTCGCGCACTTGAATCTTCTGTATGCATAAACCGCTCATTGTTTGTCGTTGCCTGAAGGGTACTTATGTCATCATAAGTCACACCTACGCTTTTGTTTTCAGTGTTGGCAGTGAGGTTGTGCACTGTATTGACGTCGTTTCGATCTTTGGATTGATGAACACTAGACGCTTCTGCAAAAGACTTTTCTTCACAAGATGCTGATTGTGGATGCTTCTTTCTTTGTGGAACTGCTGAGCTGAATACCAAGTCAGTTTGAAAAGTGCGCATGTAGCACGAAGTATTCAATGCATCTGAGTCATCAATAGTGGATTCAATTCTTTTATGCAGCGGAGAGGTAAGCATTGGCGTTATTTGCGCGGATGAGGAGCCAGGTGGAAGGTTGGGAAAACGACAGCGTGGTCTTTCCATGAGCATGTGGCTAACTTCACCTTACGGGTATTGTAAATTCATGCTCTGTGCTCGAATGCGTGAAGGCTGCTTATGATTGCGATGAATAAGTTCGAATGCACTGAAAGTGTGTGTTCTACTCGAATCTTCATTATAGAGTTCGAATGCACTGAGAGTGTGTGGTCTAGTCGATTCGTCATTATAGTCTTGAAACCAGACGATCGTTTCTTCTTTTATCATTTGACAAGACTCGTCGTTGTCGAATATGAGGGTGAAGTAAAATTGAAATGCCTCACCGGTGATGTAGTCGCTGAAGTTCGTAATCATCTCCCGCTCCGACCAAGATGCAGCGGTAGCGTGGAACTCGAACAGGTCGAACCAGTCTTCCACTGCTCCGGTATACTTGGGGATGGGAAGGTCAGTAGATGCTTCTGACATGATGCTGGTCGATGCGTAATGCTAGGCGCTCGTACGGTAGTCCTTGTATGCTCAGAGTGTCATGCGGAGGAACGCATAGATGATGAGCGACTGATGAACGGGCTGGCAGGTCTTCATCCTGTAAACTCGTGTGAAGCTATGATGAATGGGAGACGTGGCTTGGCTCATACGCCATGTTTATTCCAAAGCACTTCTTCATAGGATTCTACCAACCATCGCTTCATACGTCACACACACACAGACACTATATATATATATATATATATATATATATATATATATATATTGTTACGTACAAAGTTTCTGCATGCCACACACAACACTACTCGACGTTTGGCGTGTCGTCATTAAATTTCCACTGTTCTAGCCGGCCTTTACCGCGGTAGGGTTCATCCAAGTTAAGGCCCAGTTCTCCCTGGCACGCATCGCGCACAACTGGACCCGCTACGAATACGTCATCACCAAACGGGACGCTGACTACGCCAACGATGGCCGGGATATCAATATCAACCGACCCGCGACCATGGTGTACGAATAACTGTTTATTGGGGCGAACTTGTGCCCGAAAAGTAAAGCAAAATGTAGCGGCGTCTCTAACAGGCGATCATGAAAAGGGGATCAATCTTCGAGAAACCCTCGAGCGGTGCACCACTTCTTTTTCATCAAAATCCCGTGCTGAGGAGGCGCACGCAGTCACGGTCTTTTCCTGTTTCATCATCAAGCCGCTGATCTCTTGGGAGCGCACGAACTAGCGCGCGTAGTTTGAATACTGCGTTTGCCTTGCGTCATTATCACTCCTCCAAAAACGCATCGTCCCGATGCGTAAAAGCAGTGTTGCTGAGATGGCCTGAATGCGTGGTTTTCATTGGAGAAATAGGTATTCCTCATAATCGGGTGTGTATGGTTCGATGTTCATTGCCTGTCATAGTATGGCTTCATTCTGACTACATGCACGATTTCTGTGCTGCTTCGGCATCTTGATGAGCTCACTTGTCCTTCCGGTGACACCTCGTAGTTCAAGGAGCTGACGCGACGAAGGACTCGGTAAGGGCCGAAATAGCGGCGCATGAGCTTATCGGAAAGGCCAGGCGTCCACACGGGAGTCCAAATCCAAACTAGGTCGCCTGGTGCGTAGTCGACTCCTCTCCGACGAAGGTGTTAACGGTTTGCATCCACGCGTTGTTGTTGTTGTTTTATATGATGTCGCGCCAACTGCCGTGCTTCTTCGGCTCGCTGAATGAATTCGCTGATGT